TTAAAATATATATATATATATATATATATGTCAAGTGTATGTATGTATATATGTATGTATTTCTAATTTGCTACAGGGTGCATGTGCTTGGCTGAGAGAGAGAGAAAGTGGAAAATCACCTCCCAGGGGGTATGGCCACGCCACAATCCATTCTCCATTCTCCTCTTGGGATTTTGGATACTGCACTCACATGCACTTGGCACGTTTTTCAAGCTGCCAAGTCTGTGATGAACCACACAGTCAACCATGTGCAATCCAGCTGCCTTAACCACTGTACCACTGGCTGGCCTGATGCTTCTTACTAATACAGATTTTCATGTCTTATCACAAACCTACTGAAATGAATGAGATGTATTTAGAGAGGATAACTATCTTCTCTGAAGGATATCCTCATGCACAGCAAAGTCTGAGAAAGGCTGATAAGACATTTAGTCTGTGCTTGGCAAAAGCTCAGTGAGTTAACAGCTATCACTCTGACAATTGCTATTATCATTGATAATATGCCTAGATGAGACCTTTTCTCCAGGCTGTATAACCTCGTGCTCAACATTAGAATTTAGCTAAAATACAGGTTATTTGCTCATCTCCGGAAGCTTAAACAGAGCCTCAATCATCTAAAGAAATAAAAAAAAAAAACCAGTGACTAATTACAACAGCCTAGATGAATGCAGATTACCTTTCAAAGTCCTTTTTTTTTTTTTTTTTTTTAGAAAAAGTAGCAAGAAGCAAACATTGGAAGATGTGATAAGCAGTGTCACATACACACTCACTCCAGGTTGGCACCTTGCCTGGGAAGGTGCTTTGTGAGGAGGGAGACCCTTGTGGAAGGTACAATGATTTCTACCCAAAGGCTGGCTGTGAAGCAATTCTCAAACTCTCTGGGCTGAAGCCTGGGGGAAGTCATGCACGAGTGTGCAGAGACACTGAGTCCCACAGTACCTATGTTAGTCCCTTCTGCTGTCCCTACATCTTCCATTCTTCTGGAAGTCACCCAGATTACAGTCTTTGCAAAAAGAAAAAGAAAAAAAAAAAGCAGCCTTCCTCTGCTATCACACAGAGAGCAGCAGGATATGAAAAAAGAATGTCACCAAAATAAACTGCATGGTAATCAAATGCTAAGTATCCTGGAAAAGAATCCCTTGCCATTTAGATTAGGAGAAAATAAAAAATATCAAAGAAACTTTTTTGGAACATTACATTTAAACTCTCAGTATGATTTCCATGAAGTTTCATTATATTCAACTAACTACCATTTTGTGTTTTGGTAGTTAAAAAAAAATGATCCCCTCTGCTTCCTCTTATTGACATCACAGGATCATACTGAGCATTTCTATTTTATTATACAGCTAGGAAGGGATTAATGTGACTGGGTACCTTTCAGGAAAGATTAAGAAAAACAGCTTGGGGAGCAGAGCATCTCTGAGATTCAGTTTTCCAAATTATTAAAACCACAGATCTTTGCGCGCACACCCAACTACACAAAGCAGCCCGCTGTGTCCCCTGGTCGTCCCTCACAGCCTTAATTGCCCATTCTCGGCACTGTTGATGCACTTCAGGGTACACCCAACCCAGAAATGCTCTGCCTTCTCTGCAAGCGCTTCTACGAAAACCATAAATGTCACCGCCAAATTGGTGAGCACTAGTTCAAGCCTTCACATCTCTCTCATTCCTGGAGACATCTGTGTCCCTAAGGATAACAATGCTGGCTTAAAGGAAATCTTGGGAAAAGAAGCCAAGAGTTTTTCCT